ATAATCATCACAATGGCCTGACCCCTCTGAACTTACGTCAGTTGTGCTATTGTTTAATGCTATCTGAAATTAATCAAAATATTGGAAAATGATGTGTCTCTATGAAGACTACCTAATGATATGACCAGCAGAGTTACTCATGTCTCATTTCCCATTTCGTGCTTTTCCAGAAGACACCGCTGCACATACAATAATGCAACATTCAATACAGGACGACACGCACTGTAACCTTGAGAGTTGCTGGACCAATTCTCATTGTTTTTTAACAACGCGTTCACAAAATGTTGCAAATAATGTCTCCCTGGGTTTCTTCATCCCTTGAGTATATTTTTGTTTGTTAAACTTGTTCTGTGGTTTTTAATATTCAAGCAATTCTTGAAACAGACACCATATATGATGCAGACTAGAAACAAAGGCAGGAAGTCAGCCCCTTCTTTTATTTCTTCATTCTCTCTATCTTTTTAACAAAAATGTTAATGCTGGAAAGGTGGTGATCCATAGTCTGCTTGTTTTAATACTTTGAAAAAATTTTGTTATTTGTCCAAAGAAAAATACATGGAAATCGTAATGAAATGTGATATAAACCAAACAATTTTTTTTTTCTGTGAAATAGAACTACCCAAATTAAACACTTGCTAAAGTGTCATTTCTACTCCAAACTTAAACACTTGCTAAAGTGTCATTTCTACTCCAAACTTAAACACTTGCTAAAGTGTCATTTCTACTCCAAACTTAAACACTTGCTAAAGTGTCATTTCTACTCCAAACTTAAACACTTGTTAAAGTGTCATTTCTACTCCAAACTTAAACACTTGTTAAAGTGTCATTTCTACTCCAAACTTAAACACTTGTTAAAGTGTCATTTCTACTCCAAACTTAAACACTTGTTAAAGTGTCATTTCTACTCCAAACTTAAACACTTGTTAAAGTGTCATTTCTACTCCAAACTTAAACACTTGTTAAAGTGTCATTTCTACTCCAAACTTAAACACTTGTTAAAGTGTCATTTCTACTCCAAACTTAAACACTTGTTAAAGTGTCATTTCTACTCCAAACTTAAACACTTGTTAAAGTGTCATTTCTACTCCAAACTTAAACACTTGTTAAAGTGTCATTTCTACTCCAAACTTAAACACTTGTTAAAGTGTCATTTCTACTCCAAACTTAAACACTTGTTAAAGTGTCATTTCTACTTCAAATTAAACACTTGCCTAAGTGTAAAAATCTACTCCAAAATTATACTCTTGTCAAAGTGTCAATTCTACTTCAAATTAAACACTTGTTGTAAAGTGTCTCCAAAATTATACTCTTGTCAAAGTGTCAATTCTACTTCAAATTAAACACTTGTTAAAGTGTAAAAATCTACTCCAAAATTATACTCTTGTCAAAGTGTCAATTCTATTTCAAATTAAACACTTGCCTAAGTGTAAAAATCTACTCCAAAATTATACACTTGTTAAAGTGTCATTCTACTTCAAATTAAACACTTGCCAAAAAAATCTTAAAAATTATACTTGTTAAAGTGTCAATTCTACTTCAAATTAAACACTTGCCTAAAAAAATCTTAAACACTTGTTAAAGTGTCAATTCTATTTCAAATTAAACACTTGCCAAAAAAATCTTAAACACTTGTTAAAGTGTCATTCTACTTCAAATTAAACACTTGCCTAAAAAAATCTACTCCAAAATTATACTCTTGTCAAAGTGTCAATTCTACTTCAAACTTAAACACTTGTTAAAATGTAAAAATCTACTAAAAAATTAATTCTTGTTATAGTGTAAAAATCTACTCCAAAATTATACTCTTGTCAAAGTGTCAATTCTACTTCAAATTAAACACTTGCCTAAGTGTAAAAATCTACTCCAAAATTATACTCTTGTCAAAGTGTCAATTCTACTTCAAATTAAACACTTGCCTAAGTGTAAAAATCTACTCCAAAATTATACTCTTGTCAAAGTGTCAATTCTACTTCAAATTAAACACTTGCCTAAGTGTAAAAATCTACTCCAAAATTATACTCTTGTCAAAGTGTCAATTCTACTTCAAATTAAACACTTGCCTAAGTGTAAAAATCTACTCCAAAATTATACTCTTGTCAAAGTGTCAATTCTACTTCAAATTAAACACTTGCCTAAGTGTAAAAATCTACTCCAAAATTATACTCTTGTCAAAGTGTCAATTCTACTTCAAATTAAACACTTGCCTAAGTGTAAAAATCTACTCCAAAATTATACTCTTGTCAAAGTGTCAATTCTATTTCAAATTAAACACTTGCCTAAGTGTAAAAATCTACTCCAAAATTATACTCTTGTCAAAGTGTCAATTCTACTTCAAATTAAACACTTGCCTAAGTGTAAAAATCTACTCCAAAATTATACTCTTGTCAAAGTGTCAATTCTATTTCAAATTAAACACTTGCCTAAGTGTAAAAATCTACTCCAAAATTATACTCTTGTCAAAGTGTCAATTCTACTTCAAATTAAACACTTGCCTAAGTGTAAAAATCTACTCCAAAATTATACTCTTGTCAAAGTGTCAATTCTATTTCAAATTAAACACTTGCCTAAGTGTAAAAATCTACTCCAAAATTAAACACTTGCCAAGTGTCAATTCTACTCCATATTAAACACTTGCTAAAAATGACCATTTTACTGTCTTATATTGGAGCTGTTTCTCTGTTTACATTTGGGTTTCCTCTACCCAGCAATTAAGTTTGGGAGATCTTGTGTACCTGAAGCTGGTGAGGAAATGAGACCTTGAATAAGGTGAAGGATGAATGAAATACTCTACTCTAAGGGACATAAGAATGATATTATACAATGTATAGTCTTGTTCACCTAGACTCTGCACAGGGTTTGCCAACAGTGATTCTGGTCAAAGTCAGTGATGCCACTTCATTAAGTAACAAGAGGCCTGCATCGCTCACCTTGTTTGTTCCACTATTCATCCATTTAATAAAGAATTTCAAATATTACAAACAATTTCTGATATAATTATCATATTGGGTCCCACTCTTGTGGTCAAACAGAGGTCAGATCAACTATTCATAAAAATTGCTTCAGACCATGGACAATATCCATGAACGGAAGCAGGACTTTTTAAGAACTTACATTTCGTCAACTGTGTCATTTCCTCCCACCTTGGGGGGCCGGGATGCACCATTTATAAACTTAGTCCCTTTCACCCAAGAATACTTCAGACCAAAATTGGAAAATATCATTCTTATGGGAGGTGTAAGATTTTAAAGAACTTTCCAAGCCCCTAAGGGCCCATGGAAACTGTGAACCAATCTTTACACAAACTTTGTTCTTCTTCACCCACAAATACTTCTGACCAAATTTGGGCCATGTCTAATCATTCCTATTGGAATCCATTCCTACAGAAATATGATTTTTAATAATTTGCTCTATTTCCCATATTGGGCCCCACCCCTCTATCCCAAGGGAGCCGAGACCCATCATTTATACAAAATTGATTCCCCTACTTCCAACAATGCTTCAGATCAATTTTAGGCTAAGCCCAAACATTCCAAATGGAGAAGTAGGATTTAAAATTTTTTTTTTACCCCTAATGGGCCTTGCCCCTCAGGTTGCACGGAGCCAAAGACCTACCATTCATATAAAACTGATTCCCCTTCACCCAACAATGCTACAGACCAAATTTGGGAAATATCTAATTATTCTTACAGGAGGAGTAGGATTTTTAAGAATTTGCTCTATTTCCACTCATGGGTCCCTCCCGTAAGGCCAAAGGGGGCCGAGACCCATCATTTATACAAAATTGATTTCCTTTCACCCACCGATGCTTGAAACCAATTTTGGGCCAAAACCAATCATTACTTTCGGATATGTAGGATCTAAACATTTTCCCTTTTGGGCGAACACCCTGCAAGCCCCAAGGGGCAGAGACACAGTATTTATACAACAGTTGTGCCCCTTTCCTGTAAATGGTTTATGATAGGTAGCAATTTTTTTTTAAAGAAAATGTTGGACAACAGACACCAAGGTATACCTTAAGCTCACTTGGCCCTTCAGGGGTTTTTGACAACATTTTTTCAGTTCAGTAACAAGACTTGTCTGTCACTGTCTGATCATCTATTTCTGTCCTGTCATTTGTGACTGTTTTATCATTGATTTCTGTCCTGTCATCTATATCTGTCTAGTTGTCTGTGACTGTCCTATTGTCTATTTCTGTCCTATATTTTGTGACTGCCAATAAACCCAGATATGAACTCCATGAAATCATTAAGTATTAAAGCATAAGATGTTGATTTAATTTAGTATTTGACAACATTTGTTCGTTACAGTAACAAGGATGAATCCATGTAGCAGCTGTAATTACCAAGGAAAAATTCCGACAGTATAACCTGTCATCAAGTCACTGAGGCATGAAATGTAGGTCAAGTTAAGGTTTAATCCCTGCTGTATATATTGTTTAATACAGACAATACAAAACCAAGATAGATTTTTTTTGGCTTACCTAGCTTTCTGAGAGCAAAGTAACTTTTATTATCTTTACTACTGCTCAAGAAAATGCTACATATAAGGTTAGAATTTTTATGTCATCAAAATATTGACAAAATTTATGATTGGAGAACCCCGTTCCAGTCCTAAGAAGTTCACAACCTATATAGGTATAAACATTCCTCCCACTAGACTTTATTTTTGATGAAAGTTACACAGCATTTGTCAGTGCTATACCAGGTAGAATACACTAGGTTGTCCCCTGACACTAACCATTCTCTGTGTACAATCTTCTATCAAGCTGTGAATATACTACATTTTCATTATCAAAGAGCTGATGTCTGAGCTGAAAGATCCCAGGACTGAATCCTATACTGATATATATATTTTTTCTATCTCAGAGTTAAAAAGTAATAATTAAAAAATACAGTTAATAACACGAGGTCAGTACAGCCTGACAGATGGTTACTGACTAAGGTCCATCCTACTCAGCTTTAAATTACAGATTATTAGGAGCTTGTGAAGATGACACTTACCTCCATCACTGTAGCCTGCAGTTCAGTGCAGTAGGACAGACGTTTGGCCAGCATGGTCTGTGAGAGCTCACATAATAGGGCAATCAAATTACCCATTCCATCACCGGAGTGTGCCGATGTGGGCACAAGAGAGATGTATTCTTTAGGATTCTTGTTTTCATAAAATAATGCCGAGTTAAGGCCCTGCAATGGGAGACAACTCTTATATAACACATGAGATTGTGAGAGTTCTATACTAAATAAATATATTTCTATCCTGTTAAGTTGCAGGGGTGTAAGAAAATGTTTTAAAAGCACTTGTCCAGATCATGTAAGAACAGTGTACAGTCCTTCATCAACGTGTACAGCGAGACCAATAACATTGCCAGTGGCTTAATTAAAACAAGATGACGTATGAAAATATTCCTTGATTTAACCACTGCTACAATTGATATCTGTCAAACTGACCATTCTATTGGTCAATTAACTCACCTGTTCAGCCATCTGAGTGATGACCTCACGGGCACGTCTATCAAACTCGCTCTTTGTCTGGGCATTCTGTTTTTTAATGGTATTGACAATATCTGTTTGTGGCATGGGTTTCCACTGGTAAAGACGATCCACCTGTCAAAAAATGACCACACTCTTCATGAAAACACCAGTTAGATGGAGTTTTTAAATGTTTTGACTTTTTTTGTATTTTGTTTAAAAAAAAAAGTAAAACAAAAACATTGCATATTTAATAGCATGCTTTAGGACTTGTGAGGTGGCAGTGCAAAGAAAATATTTTGCATTTGTTTGGCAACATCATGATATAAACGTAACAGAAACAAGTGATTGGGAGGCGCCCGTGGTAATGCACTCGCCTTTTACTTAAGCATATCAGGTTTGTTTCCCCCAACAGATGTGAAAACATATAGGTCACCTGTCTGACCATATGACTTCTATCCGGCTCAACATGACTGAATCGAACAACTTTATTTCGTAATTGTAAAAATAAACTTTAATAATAAAGAATCTTATTCTGACCTCACAGGTATCTTACCTTGTTGAGGGCGATCACAAAAGGTGTTTTACGTTGCTTTAAGAGATTGATTGACTCGATTGTCTGTGGTTCAAGTGCATGCATGATGTCCACCACTAAAATAGCAATATCACAGAGAGAGGATCCTCGGGACCGCAGGTTACTGTTAAGGTATAAAACAAGAGGCCAAATTAATGTTCATTGAAAAAAGAATCTGTGTTAATAATACAAATATTGACAAATGTTGACAAATGTTGACAAATACACCAATGACATTCATAAATATCATTTTTTTTTCTAAAATTTGTTGGACTTAAACTAAGAAACACCTTTCCATCATGCTTTTCAGACTTTTGGCTAATCAGAAGAAATCTTTTACAGGTTTCAAAACAATGTATCACTTTGACCTTGAAAATGGGTCAAGGTAATTTCTTTTCACAGACATTGTCAGTCATCAAGAAACCTACCAGCAAAATGCTTCTGCACTGTTTGGTAAGACAGCAGAAGTGATGTTAAGATTTTAACTAGTTTCACAACATTGACCTTGTACATAGGTCAAGGTCTTTTCTTTTCGCAAACTTCACTGGGCTTCATCCTAGGAACATACCAGCCATATATCATGCCTTTAGGCTTTTTAGTTCATAAAGAAAAGTTGGGCCAGGTGAGCTAATGCCATGATATGATGTTTGCTTTCTGGGTTTATTGCCCTGATGAAAAGCTAGAGTTACTCCAGACCGAGTCTCCTTGTAGTCACTGTCTCATTGTATAACACAAGTCTTGTTACATACTATCCACAACAATCAAGGTAAATTGTCAAATTACACATCACAGATAGGCCCAGGACGCCACCTTCCTGTGAAACAATTTAATCAAACTTAATTATCTCAGAATCATTTTTCTCTTCCCAGCTTGCTGATCTAATATCTGTCTACATCAGAAGTGTCGTCTGTGGATCATTAGCCTCACAATCACACTACAACACAGAAACTTAACAAAGAATAAAAAATTACCTGAAAGACTCGTGGCCTGGTGTGTCTATAATTAATAACCCTGGTAATTTTAATTCTTTCTTTGAAAACTGAAACAGAAGATGGTATTTCTATTAATTTTTTGTCTCATGATAAATTTAAAACAAATAATCATTAGCTTACAACTAAATCATGTAATTACATACAGAAATTCTGAACAAATCTTTTAGATTCTATATGAGGATTTCCTATGTATAGTGAATGATGACACTTTTGTAACTTGTAATGTTTTTGTTATCTCTGAATGCAGTTACCTGAAACACTTTGGAAATTTTCAGATTTTTAAATGTCATACCACAAATAATCTTGCTGGACAATGGCTTACTTCTCAAAATTGTGCAAAATATGAATTAACAATAGAAAAAAAAGAAAAGAAGGAAAAAAAAACCTGCTGGAAGAGATGTTATGGTTATGGGAACTTATTGGAAACAACTTTTTTTTCTTCAAGGCAAAAACGGTGAAGAATCTATTTTGTCTGTGATAAAGCAAACTTATATCACTCTTTTATCAATGCAAATGAAGATGACTCAGCTTAGCATGTTCTAATATCTTCCCACTCAATGTTAAAGTCTGATAGAAAGAGAAGGAAACACACAGAAGGACAAAGACCTCAGTCTTACACTCAGAGGAAACAACAATTTCTGGACATTTACCTCCTTACACATCTTTGTTTGCTCTTTAACGGCGTGTTCGGGAACATTTGTAGCACCGATCTGTTGAGTTATCCCTCCTGCCTCACCGTCCTGGACGTTTGTTTTCCGTAGCTGTATTCATAAAAAACACACTGGTAATTTCTCATCTTGGAAATGGCAGGAATTTCATTGAAATGCCACATAAATGTGTTACTGGCTCTGTTATAAGAACTTCTATTTTATATGCTGTGTACTAAGTTTGCTGAATTATCGAGATTTAGTTTCCAATAAAATTTTCTACTTCTGTACCAATGGGACTCCCGACATCATTTTTTGTCAAAAATCGACACAAAATTAACATTCCTGTACCTTATCAAGGATCTTTGTTTTCCCTGTGTCAACATGTCCTAGTACACATACAACAGGAGATCGGAGCACATCTGTTGTACGATTCTTCTCAGCTTCTTCTTTCCTTTTCTGTTTTAAGACAAAAAGTCATATACATCCAAAAAGATCTTTGATGTGAAAGCTGATTTAAAATATTGAAAATTTAATAATAATACGAAAATGTTAAAATGTGTTGTATATCTTTTTCTCTGTCTGGACTCTGAAAGGCTCTAGTTCTATATCAAAACTGTTATAGAATATTACTGTCTTACGATTATCAAAGTCTGTTGTTTCTACCTTGAAGATAAAACAAACTAGAACACTGACAGCAAGGGCCCTGCTATGTGGTTGAAAATTCCTTCGCCTCTCCATCCACCACCCCACTCTTAGATACACAAACCCCAGACTGACAGATTACTGGCAAGACCTAAGTTCACTCTGCCACAAAAAAATTAAAAAAAAAAAACCAACAACATACTAACAACTTCACTTAACAATCTGATTTTTAATCTATAATTACAGTGACCTTGACCTTATGGATATAAAAAGCAATATCCAAAACAGGCACTTTTTGTAGGGAAGCAATGTATGAGGCTTTGATTGGCCATAGCAAACTCTAGTTTCCACATGGAAACTGATTTTCTATTGATAGCAACAGTGATCATGACCTTCGACCTTGGTATGAAAAGTTATAACACCCCAAGCAAGCACTTCCTTCAAAACTTGAGATCATGTACAGAAACCAAAATGATCAATGTATATCAATCCCATTAACTTGATGAATAGCATTTTCTGACGGAATCTCGCCATGATGTATTATATAAATACATTAGAATCACTGAACCCTATGTCATGTAGACTTATTTTGAAGACTAATTTTTTATGACAACATCACATTTTCTGTTCTTGTTTTTTTTTTTTTTTTTTTGCATACTGTCCAAGGGATACTTATAGATATGTGCAAAGTGTAATATTCAACTCACTACACTGCACCATCATCAACAATGTGAGATGTCTGAGACACCATGATTATGCGATATAGATTGGTGGTAGGATATGTCTTTTTAACACAATGATGTCTGATTATCAAATAGTGAATATCTACAGTGTCATTTGTTGATACCTTTAGAATTAATGTAAGAATGAAACCCAATTTGTGACAAATATGAGAATTACTTATCATTATCATGTCAAACCATGCCCTACCATGATGCGTTCCCTAGCACGTTCTACAGGGGTCAGATCATCATCTTCACTTTCTTCCTCTGTGCTGCTTTCCTCTTCCTCCTCCTCACTTTCCTCCTCTTCTTCTTCCTCCTCTTCTTCGCTTTCTTCTTCACTTTCCTCTGCTACTTCTTCTTTTACTGTAAATGAAATACACAAGTGACTACAAGGAAAACCAGACATTGCCATCGCACAGCAATCATTTCTATTTAAGTAAGAAATAGTTTGGCATTTGAGCCTATCAAATGACACATTATTGTTGCTATGACAACAACTCAACCTTTTGAAGATCTAGACTTTTATTACTCTATATCACTTAGCTTTCACAAATACTTTTTTCGTGAACGCTTATTAACAGAAGGACATTAAATCTGTGAATGACGAACTGTTAGAGACCAGAACTCTTCAACAATCAGATACCAGTATCCACATCAACTCAACTTATTTTCTTACATCATTTCGAAATCATTTCACAGAAACAAAACTCTAATTGTATTATTAGTGACAGATCATGTGACATTTGACTCATCAAACGATTGACCAAAAAGACCCTAAGTGAAACTGATAGGTGGACAGAGAAATTAGAAATTCTAAAACAAATAACATTAGGGGGAAAAAAAGGCTGAATGCCTCATGAAAGGAAATATATATGTGAAAATATATTAAAATCATATGCGAAGCTTAAAATGGAAAGTAAAATTTGTTGTACATTTACAAAAACCTACCACACTAAGATGATGTTAAGATGAAGTACCAAAGGTTGATACCTATGAAAAATTATTTCTCAGATCTTTAACAATACAAACCTGGCTCTGCAGGTTTTTCTACTTCCGTTTTCTTTTCTGTTTCTTCATCCTCTGCATCCCATTCATCTTTGACATCATCCTCAGCATCCCAAGCATCAGCCACATTGTCTTCTTCCTCTTTTGGTTTTTCCTCTGTTTTTGGCTCAGGTTCGGGTGTTTTCTCCTCCACTGAAGCTGAGGGTGACACTTCTTCTACCGGCGATGGTGTATCTTCTGTAGAAAACAAGATCAAACCTAAGGTGAGATGGTAAAGATCTATCTGTAGAAAACAAGGTGAGATGGTAAAGATCTATCTGTAGAAAACAAGATCAAACCTAAGGTTAGATGGTAAAGATCTATCTGTAGAAAACAAGATCAAGCCTAAGGTGAGATGGTAAAGATCTATCTGTAGAAAACAAGATCAAGCCTAAGGCCTTAGGCATTTCTAGTTGTACAAGAGAGATTATTGCACAAATTCCAGTCATTACCCAAAACTAGGGAAAAAAATTAACCAGTAGTTATGACTTGGTAATGATTCTGACCCCATCTCCTTTTATGACACTTCCTTCCGAGCAGTATTCACTATGTCAGGGTAAGGGGGTAAGACATTTTCTCTGAACAAATCATTAAATGACGGAAAATAACTCTGTACACTGTGTGATATAAGAATATATCAGGTTACCACAATCTGCCAACTCTACACAAACACAAAAGGTGGCAGATGGACCGCCCACAGACCTATGACAAAGGACCATCTATAATTGTATCATGCCTTTCAGCATAATAATGGCAGTTACATAAACTTAATATTGATTTGTGTTGAGGGTTTTGCAGACCCTAAACACTCTGGTCAATATTTTTAGATACAAAAAAAATTGAATCCTGCCTTTATAAATAAATTAAATAAAAGCAATTTGAATGAAAAATTTGATCAATATATTGTTTTCTGTTGAAAGAAATACTTTGTTGATATATGCATTTTTTCCCAATTACACCCAGAGGCTTTTCCCAATTTACCCAGAAAAACCCCTGCTAGATCAGGATTTCAAAGTGAGCAAGGACTCAAAAATAGATATATCTCCAAGCCCTAGATCAGGAGGTTAAAGTGAGCATGGACTCACATAGATAGACCCCCCACCTCCACTACCCCTGGATCAGGAAGTTAAAGTGAGCAGGGGCTAACCTAGATAGACCCCCCCCCCCCCCCATATCCCTGGATCAGGAAGTAAGTTGTCAGTATTTTCATGTAGTTATAAGGAATTACTCTAAATCTGTTCTGGAGTTCATGAGATATCTTGTACATGATGTTGTCACAGATGGACGAACGGTCAGACATAGTGATTATCATATTAGAGCAGGTTATCAAGGTTTCAGGACATGTTACAGTGTTTGCTCAATTTCTAATGATACAAGTGTAGATGTAGGTGGGCTTATTACCTGACATTGACTTATTACTAGATAAATACAGTAATGTTTCTACTAAACAGCAGTAGATATTGGAGGGCTTATTACTAGACATGGACTTATTACTGGATAAATACAGTAACAATTCTACTAAACAGCAATAGATATGGGTGGGCATATTACCAGACATGGTCTTATTACTGGATAAATACAGAAATAATTCAACTAAACAGAACAAGTTATGGGTGGGCTTATTTCCCGATAAATATGGTCTTAAACACTTAACTGTTTTCTCAAAATGATTGGCCAAATTTGTAAAAAGTTCCAATGTGGGTCAAGGTTATTTTAACAAAGCTTATAGGCTTTCACCACAGAAACCTACCATACATTACATAGAGTAGAATCATTGATGCTAGTGAATCAAGTTGACTTCAGTCAGAATTTTCAGTAATATTGTAATATCTTAGAGTAGAAACTCATGTTACCTGACCTATAATGACCTCTAAACATAAAACCCTGTACATATCAGTGTTCAGATTGTACATACCAACTTGATGTTGTTGCTTCTTTTTACGATTTGAGTAGACTGGGCGCTTCTTCGCAATTTCGTCTTTGTTGGGAACATCAATACCTGCATCCAATACAAGACATTGTCTTTTTTCATCCCCATTAGAATAAAGCAATTTTCAAATACAAAAAGTGACAGTTGTTAAGTACATGTATATTTCAAGAATAAAGCATCCAGAGAAAAAAACCAAGGTCTGAATAAATTATTTTCAAATTATCTTTCAACACCAGAGTAATATAAATGAAAATGGTGTAAGGAATATAAGATAAATAAGACAGAAGCCTTGTATAACATACCTCTGGCCTTCATCTCCTCCAACATCTGCATGGCTCGTTGACGATCCTGTTTTTGTCTCCCTGTCAGTAATTTACCCTCCTGTTTCAGACGTTCTTTCTTTTCTTTTTCTTTCTGCTTTCTCCTTTGTTTTTTCTCTTCCTCAAGACGTTTCTACAATGTGTTATAGCTGGGCATGTCAATTCATATCAAAACTTTGATGAAGCAAATCAAACCGTTGAGCAAACTGCAACATTGTTACAAATAAATCGACAATTAAGAATACTGGTCATATAATAATATTTTCCTACCTCTTCTTCCTTTCTCAAGCGTTCTTCTTCTTCTTTTCTTTCCCTCTCTTCTTCCTCTTTTCTGATTCGTTCCTCCTCCAATCGAATCATTTCTAACTGGGCTTTGATGGCTGCTACCTGTATAGCAAATTTTTATCATCAACACTTGTAAGTAAGGACTAATTTTTCATAGTTCAAACACTAGACGTCTCTCATTTAAGATCAGGGGATGGACTTATTACAAGACCATGCAATATCATTTGTTAGGAATTTTCTTGAACAGGAATATATATATTAGACTATATTCCTACCAGACATGACATATTGCTTAACAAACAGTGAATTACTTTGAAGTATTACTGGTCGTTGAAAATGATCAATAAAAAAGTAACTTTTACAACAGCTATGTATTAAACTTGTAGGAAGCCACATGAATGGTCAGTTTCATTCAAACTCATCTTACCGGTGCCTTAGTCTTTTTCTTCTTTTCTTCCTTCTCTCCTTTCTTTTTCTTCTTTTTTCCTTCCTTTTCTTCTTTTTTCTCATCCTCATCATCTTTCTTTTCTCCTAGAGATACAATAATATTTTTTCACAAACATTTTCTTCCATAAAGAAATTTAAGTGTGCATGAGTTTTATCAATACCTGTGAAAATTGTAGCATTTAATGGTCCAGAAAAAAACATTGAAATACGACAGCCCTAACAGCCTTATCGGTCACCTGAGTTAAGCAATAATGAATATAAAGGTTAAAGGGTAAGTAGCTTTCAAGTGTCATGATAAAGAAATTTTGATATTGATGATAGTAAGCCAGCATACCATCAAAACTGTCATCCTATACTAAAAATTCTTATTAAGCTATTTCAAATGGGAAAAAAACAATGTTATGCTCAAAAATTATAGTAAAGTTAACCTTCTCCCTTAGGAGAAATGCGAAACCCATCTTACTAAGTTTGAAATATTTCAAATACAAATTAAACAAATCATGCTCAAAAGTCTATTTTTCCTATACCAACTATATAAAACTACCCCCTTCCCATGGGAAAATGTGAGACCCTGGGGCTGTGAATTTGAAATCCACAATAAGTGGTCACTTGTGTATTAGGATATTCTACATTTAATGTATTACCGAGTAATGTGGATATGTTATTTGAAATAGAAGATAGAAGAATGGAACACCTTTACCTTCTGCAGTTTCATCTACAGAGGCTCCCTCAGTAGTCTCGGCTGGTGTCACAGCCACATCAGCTTCCTCAGAGGCTTTTGCTTTCTGCTTTTTCTTTTCCTTAAAAAAAAGGCAATTTACCTTAAATAACTTCATATTCTGAAACAAAAAGTACACCTATCCCATGGAAAAGAAATATCCAGGATTTGTTGTATCTAAAACAATACAAATATTGATATGGTAATAATAAGTCCCAACATCAAGAGATAAAATAGTATTCTATTGTTTTACGATAAATGACTGCATAGCAAGTTTTAAAGAGAAAGACAGAAAGAAATCTCAGGACAAGATTAAAGTGCTGAAAGGAACAAAGGGCAGTAACTTTTGGAAATATTGTTGAATAAAGATGTTTTTCGCAAGAGCACCTCACATTGTCATTAATAAGCCTACTAAATTTCAAAGAAATTGGTTGAAAACTGAGGGAGTAGATATCTGGACAAGAGAAATATGTTGTAAAGAAGAAAAAAACAGCCATAACTCTTTCCAAATTTGTAAAATAACAAAGCCTGAAAGAAAAAACACTATTTCAGGCAATGGTTTATAAATCCTAGAAAGCTTCGAAGAAACTGGTAAACAAAAACCAATAAAGGAGATCTCCATACAAAAATAAAACACTAAAAAATTAAATGACAATAATTCCTTCAAAACTTATTGAATCCTGCTGTGTAGGGAAACACCTCCTCTTCAGAGGTGATTAACATTATGAAAACAATAAACAGCAGTAACTCCTCCAAACACAGTTGAATCAAACTGACATTCTGGAAAACAGAACTTCATGTGACGCTTTAAAGTTCAGTAAAAAAAACTGTGAGAAGAGATATCTAGAAAAACAACAGATGGTCAATGTATTGCTACAATATGTCCCATCATTATTTTTGATGGGCAAATGGTATAAAAAAAACCGATACATGACAAATACAGTTATAACAAATGTCACATCATTGAGTTCAGACAGTAAATCACTGAAGTCATGAAGTCATCATCTGAAATTAAAACTTGAATTTGAAGTAGCTGTTATTTTCTTTTCTTTACAATGCATCTTTGTTTTCCCATTTCTATTTGCAATTTGTCCTATCTATTTACCTGTTGTTTTTTAAGTTTCTCTCGCTCTCTCTTTTCTTTCCATTTCTGTTTGCAATTTGTCCTATCTATTTACCTGTTGTTTTTTAAGTTTCTCTCGCTCTCTCTTTTCTTTCCGTTTCTGAGCATTTGTCTTTACAGTAGGTCCTTCCTCAGCCTCTTCACCTTCATCTCCTTCCTCTATTTTCTCCCCCTCTGTTTCTTCCTTTGTGTCTTTCTTCTTTCCTTTCTTTTTCTTCTTTTTTCTATCATCCTCATCTTCCTCCTCATCCAGATCTTCCATTGTTACCACCTATAAAGGGAAATTTGAAATACATGGTAACATTTATCTGACAATTTGTGCATGTTTATTTGAAATATTGGAAACTATGACAAATCATTATTCTAAACCTTCTTGTATACTCTGGAGGTTGTGACCTTTGAGGGATTCTATTTTTGTGGATTGTAGTTAGCTAGGTTCATTTAAGGATGCCCTTCCTATTTATGTGAGCCTCCATACAACAGTGTGAAACCAACTCCATAATGAAGTACACAACACCTAGTCATATAATACTGAAAACAAATGGAATAACATCCTAAAATAGGCATCCTTGAAAATTGAAAATGTATGAAAACTATTGTAAATGTCATAACTTCTGTCAAAAATACAACTTTTTTGCTTCAAGCTGTCGGCAAAACTGCAGAAATTTGAATTGGCGAAAAAAAAACCAAGTTTTACAGTACTTGTCCAAAGGTATCCAACTATCTGTCTGCAATTTCCTTTTTTATCACTGTTCATAGTCAGAATTCCTCCCATTATGAAATATGAAATTATTCACCAATGTTATGAATATTTTACAACAGTGCCATAGTTGTAAACTCATACACTAACAGAGAGATAAACCATTTTTCTACTAATTTCCAATAATACTCTCTCTATGTCCTTATACACCTACCAAAGACTAAAAGTCTCAATAATACTATCCCGCTGTCCTTATACACCTACCAAAGACTAAAGTCTCAATAATACTATCTCTATGTCCGTATACACCTACCAAAGACTAAAGTCTCAATAATACTATCCCGCTGTCCTTATACACCTACCAAAGACTAAAAGTCTCAATAATACTATTCCCAATGCAAAATAGTATCTTTTTTTCCCAATTTAGACCCCAGGTTTTCCAAATTCTATGGAAAATGCCGCTATTTTTCCCCAATTCTAAGGGCCCCTAGCTCCAGTCCCAAAATGGGGTGTGAGAGCCCTGTAGTAACACAGTCCGTTGGATTCAACACGAAGTTGATATAGTTGATGTTTACAATGATAGCTACTTTTACACAGATGCAAATCTACTGAAATATCATTCATGATCCTGTAAATAACTTGCAGAGTCAATGAAACACCTGATTTAAAAAGCAGGCTCCTACCAGTTCAATTTAAGAAAAACAAAATCAAAGTCTAACACAGAGTACTAATACTTCTAAATATTCCCTACCTTGGCTTGCATCTTGGCCTCCATTTCTTCCTCAGTAGGCAAGTCATTGTTAGCAGCTTTTTCTTCTTCATCTTCTTCAACATCACCTCCTTTCTTTTTCTTACTCTTTTTTGATGCTTTTGGTTTTTCAAGGTCAGCTAAAATAGCATCAATATCTTCGTTTTTCTGTTCTTTTTTCTTTTCTTTTTTACTTTTGGATTTTGATTTAGTACTTTCAACTTTCGGTTTGGCTTCTATAACATCTTCTTTTTCCTCCTCATCATCCTGTGAAAAAAAATTATATACATAAAACATGCAAGTTAATGCAATGACATGTCATTGGTTCCTCCGAAGCATTTTTTGTTAATTCTAATTTTGATTTATTTGAAGAAGTTGTAAAAAGTCAAAAGATTAAAGTTTTTCTGCTTTCAGACAAGATCTCAATTGCTACATCAAGTCTATTGTCTTAGAAATCATTTGGCATTATTGAATTCTTTTTATCTCAAGTACATGAGCGTCAATGAAGGAAAATAACTCCACCTTAATTACAATTATTCCTACGAGAATATCACAGTGGCCTTACTATTTTCATGGGAATATCTAAAGCACAGAGATTTTACCTTTTTTTAAAGTTTGTTTTTGTAGTTAAGTGAATTCTCCATGAAACTGATGGTAAATCAACCATTTAAGTACTTAGATGTATTAAACCATTTTGATGTAATGTTATGATGATGTTGGATTGTTTTTTTTTGTTTCCCAATTCTTGATCATCAACGTACCAATAGATATCAGGTTACAGTTTGGTTGACAATAACTAACATCGGGTTTCAATCAAGTTCGATGTTGTTTCAATTCCAAGGAAATTATGGAATTCTATTTTAAGAATTGACAATTAGTTCCAAAAGATGCTACCTTGTCTGAAGCCATATTGTCTTCATCCTCGTCCTCCATCAGAAGCTGGAATGCTGACATATTTGTTTTTTTCTGGCTCTTTTGTACTTCAACTTCTTCCTCTCCCATATCCTCTTCATCCTCTTCATCTGCTTTTGCTTTTTTCTTCTTCTTTTCCTACAGTTACATTGATCTTCTTAAAATATGATTTCTTTACCGAAAGTCAATTGTTAAAACTTTGTCAATTACTTCAGAGTGAAATAAAATTTAAGAACCAGAAAATAAAAAAAATCTATGAGGTGACATTATCTGACATTCAAATTTTGAATTGGATGATACTTCCTCTGTTATCCCGGTTCCTTTCCAAAAGATCACAAACAAGCACTATGTGACATCCTTCTCTTAGAATAACATACCTTTTTCTTTGGGGCATACACTGGTTCCTCATTCTTGTCTCCATTTACCTCATCATCTTTATTTTCCATTGACAATGCAGCTAACTCAGCAGCCACATCATCCTCCCTGTCAAATAATCATACATCACACATTCATAAAAGTAGGTACAATAAACTTATAAATAAAATCGAGAGTACATGATGAAAATCTCAAATCAAAATCAACAAATAAATCAATAATAAATATATTGAACTAGCAACAAAAGTAGCAAAAGAATAAACACTGTAACAAAGACACTGTACAAAAATACAGTGGTGCCTAAAATAATGAATTGTACTGCTGTTTTGTCCTTACGAGGACCTGCTAGTGATGCTAAGGGCCTAAATTTTGAAACCACAGAGGTGACTGAGGAAAATCAAAACTGATGGATAGAAATGTCCAAATCTTGATAAAGAGGTAACTCATTATAAATTTGAAGATATATCACATTTTGAAATGTTTGCCTTACCAATCATCATCATCCCTTTTCCTCCTGTTCTTCTTCTTTCCTGCAGACTTGACTGGTTTAACATTTTCTTCTTCTGTTTTCTCCAAATTCAAAACTGGGTCAGGGATGTCATCATCACTAAAAAATAAAAAACGACGAAGTTGTAGAATTCATTGAAGAACGATAGTTTCATATTCTCTCTAATTTTGAATTTTTATCAGATAAAAAAAATGACTAAAATTAAAATCTTTTGTGAGTACTTGTATGGTTTATAGACACCAGCCTTGATATATATATATATATATTAAGCTGGGTTTGATTGGGTAAATTTCTTTAATTATTATTATGAATAACAAAAAAATACCCTAAACAAGACAGTTAAAAAAATATGTTCAAATAGTATAGACCAAGTTTATCAGCCGATAACCAACAAGGACATTGACAATATTATTTACAATTACTTTCGATGCTGATACACAGGCAAATATAGTATTTAATCTCATTGTTACACAAAAAATATAAGTATTGTCAGACAGTGTGTTTCGTTTAAAACGATATTACAATATTGCACCATCAGTCTACATATGGAACCGGGTAACAATAACGACCCGTATACTTACAATTCTTCATCCTGCCCCTTTTTGCCTTTGTTCTTTGGTTTACCCATTTCCCCAGACTGAATATCATGAATTCTAGATACTGTCTCTCAAGTTTTACTCAAAAATTGTATTTTTTTCCTTTTCAATGGCTTTCAATATTGTCAATTCTCGATATCTCGGTGCGCATGGAGTCGACGTTTCCGGTTGCAATGACTTATGGGATAGGGGAGCAAACCGTGATCCAACTGCTGACTGGGGAGAATTTGTTAAGTTCATAAAGATTGTATGACTATGTATTATACATGATACGCCTTTGCAAACTACTAATGTATATCTCAATACTTGTATCAGAGAGACCTCTTCTCAAGATTACAAATTTCAATTAAATTAGAATATTTTTTTTATCTTGTTGGTAATAAAGACACACAAGAGAATAACATCATTTAAACAAAAATAAAATAAGATACTGGGCTACTGAACAATGCAGTGAACTGCATCATACAGCTGTTTCGTCCTTCTACGACTCGTCAGGGATGCTAAGAACCTATATTCTGAAGCATAGGAAGCGAATGAGAAGATCTCTGAAGGATTGGATAACATGAAAGGAATCCACTGTGGGGCGTTTTAGTACACTATCACCACATACCCGCTCACACTGGCAAAAATAAAGACTGATGATAACGTATTATTACTTGAACAAATGGTAATGAATTACAAAAAAGACATCGTTGTTAAGGTACGTAATACGCACATGTACAACTGTGCAGTTGTAAAGGGAAGGAGTAAAAAAAACACACTGCAACCGCTGAGGTTCGCACTAGAGACAACTAGAGACCCTTCTCTAGTCGGATACTCTACCGCTCTAAACTAAAGGGAAATTCCCATAGATATCTAACCTAGATGCCGCACCGCCTATCCGCGACTGTTGACGCAATGTGCCTGCAGCGCCGCAATCTTGGGAAGGTATTGCCGCTAGCGCCAAACCATAGCTACACAGTGGGCCTCATGATAGAAAACCCAATTTAAAAAGTGTAGTTCGGTCACTAGCCCACGTATCAACACAAATAATACTTCATTTTAAAGCCGAGAAAAAGTTCTATGTTGTAGTCATCTCAAAGTGGAGTTATCGGGAATCAAAATTAAAGAAAAAATAACGGAAATATTTAAAATGTAAAAATTATGGGAAAAAAATATACTCCTCAGTTAGTTAGGATAATTTTACCAATAAACTGACATATAATAACCCACCCCAACCAAACAAAATAGGAAAAACCCAGTAAAATAGAACAGTTAAGAAAAAATACATAGAATTTTATTCAAATACATTCTTTTTTAAATAAACTTGATTGTGGCAAAGAAAGGAAGAAATATCTATGGAAATTCCCACCAACTGATGCTATAAAGATGACATGTACTCTCAAACTCAAATTCTACGCAACAACTCCCCCTCTTCCATTATGTGTAGCATAAATGATAAAATTGATGTATAGAGGTAATTCACCAGGAAGAAGTAGATGTACGTAAGATCAGGTTTTTTTTTTAAATATCGATAAGCGTACTTTACTTATTGTAGCTCAAACAATTTATTTTTGGAATAAACTTAAATATTTCAATATGCTGCAGCAGTCATTAATTATTTGTCAGACCCACCATTGTTTCAAGATAGATACATGAGAGATGTACGTATTTACCTGTCTAGCACTAACTTTCTATCTTATTTCGATTTTATTTGTTACAATGAATACATTTTAACAGTTACAGTTGGAAGTATATTTCCGCTCGTGGCAATAACTTTGGCGTATATTATGGGGCATCTTAAATAATGTCAGCGTCAAGTATATTAGACTAAATAAACAAAGACTAAACAAAAAAATTATTGAAGATTTAGATTTTCTGAATTTTCAATAAGTGTTGCAGGACAAATAGTGCACAATGTCGGTATCTTAAAATGTAAACATTTTAGCGTGGGACAGAATGACAATACTGGCTCGCTAGAAACTCGCCACTTTTCTTTTTCTTAATATTCGCCAAAATGCAGCTTATTTTAAAACACTAACTACGTATATTCTCTCGAAAGTCCGAGCGCAAATCTTTGTGCATTGAACGGAGTTGTCTCCCTTCCCATATGTGTCTCCACGGAAAACCGACCATCCGATCAATGGCTTTGTTTCCTTAGTCCCTTATATGAATGTACGATGCTGTAGTATCCTGATTGTATTTAATTACGACCAGCAACCGCTTCATTTATTGATAAATTTTCATCCATTTAAATAATATTTCATGTTGGAACTAAATATGATAAACTGAATATAAGCTTACTTGAATTAGATTTTTGACTATGTAAATGATCTAGAACCCGAAGAGCATTTTTATATGTAACATTAGATCAGAACTACATGGACACGATGACACAGTGATGTAGAAGAAACACTGTATAAAATCAACTAATAGATGATGAAATCAACTTAAGATTGTATTGAACGCAGCATTTGGGATTGACTGAGAGTTTTTATTCATTCACACTCAGTGAAATTATCACAGGACGGTACACATTATCTGCACTAAGGTACACCGTAACCTTTTTGTGACTTATTTCAGTTCGATCCTCTGTTTGAGTAGTTATAAATCTGTACATTTTTCATATCATATTTCAAAATAAACGAAACAGGTGACAAGTTTTAGAATTCGTATATGAAAACGGATAAAATGAAGACTATTTTCAAGACACAGGATATCCAATTGCCTATACTTACGGTCATGAACAAACCCTGTAGGATAGTTCTCAGTGATGCGACCAACCAACAACAAAATACTCATCAGCGCACTTCTGACTTTTCCCTCCCATAGTACACGTAAAACATCTACCGGCGGTGACGTTCAGTAAGGAACGAGCCGTGTAATGCACGGGGTTATGGAAAATAGATCCCTAATATTCAGAACATGAGTGTTATTGATCTCGGGTTTGTTCGACCGCTGATGTGTAAAGGATTGGGCATTTCCATGTGATGGTCCATTTATCCGCATTACCGTTAAGTCACGATCAACCATCCAGTTGTAAGTCTAAATGAAATATAAATATAAACTTTATTTATTTTACAACAATTGCGAAACAAGTTATGTCAACTTATACTAATCACTCTTGTTGGCCCGGATGTAAGCGCGCGAGGGGTTTTATTGTGGGAGGAAACCGGAGTACCCGGGGAAAACCCACGTGGTCGGGCAGATGACCCCTTACACTTTTTCACGTCCAGTTCCGGGAATCGAACCCCGGTCGGCTAGGTGAAAGGCGAGACTTGGTATTTCTGACCTGTTGTATTAATCATATTTAAAACTCCAGACAATTACCCAGTTTATCAATCCTCAATAGCATAATGAAATTTAAGATGTTTTCAGATAAATTTTAGAATAAAGATGAATTTATCTAAGCCTTGTGTAGTTTTGGAATAAGTTATCGCCGTATTTTACGTTAACAGAAGTCGTCGGTTTCAGAATCCAGAATCGGTAACAGGATTTTATCGTTGCGTGTTTTAACTGTCCTATCGCGACATTTCAAATCCGTTTTCTCTATCTAACCTTTTCGTCCTCTCCGCCATGAGCGGATCTAGTCACTCGTCACCATGGAAATGACCTTACGAATCCATTGTTGTTCATTTTGTTATCACTTGAGAAAGCAACAGTACTTATTTGGATTAACCAACATGGCGGGTATCGTCGATGAAACAGAAGACGCTTATCATTCCGGATGACCTGGTCTTATTCTACAGTGTTATTTCATGTTTCAATACTTTGTTTATATGTTCGTATTTTCTTGTTGCATCACACACTTAGAGAATGTTAAACCTGAAACAAACCCAACTCAAATAAAACACGACAAACCTATCCGAATCTTCATTCTTCTCACCTTCAAAAAACTCATATCGCTCATTAACATGTATAAAGAGTTTTGATTATTTATATGTAAAGTTCCGTTTTATTTTACTTTATTATTATTTTTGTTATTCTTATCGCCTTACTTTACACAAATAACTGTATGATGACAAAGATTAATGCATTACTAAGATTTTTTTGTTTTTCTGTAAATTTATACTGCTATTCACATGTGTGTCTTTTACACAAATTTACACAACTTTTATCCAGAATAGATTCATTTAAGATCTTGTACCTCCGGTGGTATAACAACGGAAAAGTTTTATATCTAAAACTCTAATCACAATACTACTAGATGTGCATTATGTACAGCTAGGCAACATGCCTTCCTGACACATTATGCACCGGCCTAGCATACACCGTATCAGTCTAAAATCCCCCCTTATACAATACTTCCGTTTCAACATGTTTAAAAATTAAATCACTCTTGAAACATTTCATCGCGAGGTCATTTAGTAGCATCTATAGCAGAAACATATACCGTAACATGTACACTTGATTTCTCACAGAGGGCTAGTTTAGCCAGTCTTTATCACGTGTAATGTGTAAAATCTCTGAAATATCCCTCTATCATTATCGTGAACGAGGACTAAATCTCTCTTTCTGTTCGTAATCTCTCTCTTCACACAACCTTACTTGTGACCTTGGTGCTTTAAAATGTGTTACAGCTAGGTCATTTAATACCTCACCAATTATGTTATATTTTCAGAAAACTCTTGCTTTCTCTTGCGATATTTCTAAACATTTTCTGAAGGCTTGGCATCTTAGTCTACTGACCAATTCGAACCTAAACATCTCTTAAGATGAAAAACGTTACAAAAACAAAATCACAGATAACTGCAAAGGTCTGTCCTTGGTCCCGTCTTATTTCTTATTCGTGAAAATGTTATGAACAGTGATTTCGTGTGATAGCCTTTCCACATTGGAAGACAGACAGCTTACTTACAGGTGGGATTAACATGCCTCTCACCATGTAAATTCAGATCTATCACACTTAAAAATGCTATATAACAGATAATAAAAGACTGTTCAACTTCATCTGCGTTTGGTTTTTAATTAATTACCCAAGTTCTTCATATCAAATATGTTCTGACAATCACTTGGCAGTTTAGTGCTATTTTTGTAAAGGTATCACAGAGAAACATTCTGGCCTCGGTTGTTTAAAGGCTTTTAGTAAATAACTAGTAGTTAGCGAAAACTTTCCAACGGCAATAAGACGAAATCATCATTTCACAGCAGTA